GCAGGAACTCAGCAGTCAAGGTCAAAGTCTCCTATAGTCTTCTGTAAATATAAAGGGAAACACTACAGTTGCTTAACTGCAGTGAGGGAGATTTAGATGAAACATTAAAAAACCCTTTTACAACAGCAAAGACAGTTAGTTAAGCACTGGAACAGATGGTCTAGGGAGGCTGTGGAGTTGCTAGCACCCAAAGTTTTCAGAACAGGTTAGGAAAACATCTGTGTGTATATTACAGGTACAGGTAATTCTGCCTGGAGGTCTAGATAACCTCCTAACATCCTTTCTAAACTTAGTTGCTAGGATTCTGTGGAAAAAAAACCAAACAAATTTAGGTAGAAGACTTGAGAAAGCAGAAACTGGTAAAACATGAAGTATTTCCTGTTTTATTTTGAAATTTACTATTTAGTGGATTTGGTTCAAAGCCTCCTATAGCAATTCAGTGATTTACAGTCACTTTCTAAACCAGCTCTGGTGAGATACTATCCAGAACATGGATAAAACCCTCACTGAGTGATTCATTTAATTAAATACCTGTGTCTGAGAGGGAATCTGCACCTCACATTCCAACTGCTGAGCTGGATACATCCACACTGGCTTTGATTTCCATGCTGAAACCATGGAGCTGCTGGATGGAAGTGGTGCAATGCTACCTCTGCTAGAGGAGTAAGTGCCATAAATTGCCTGCTTCGGGTTTGGGAAGGTGATGGTATTTGTATTCTCAGGATCCAGCCTAATCTCCCCTGTACAAAGAAAAACATGGACTGCAGGTTTCATTCACTTGGTGTTAGCCATTTATCTAATCACATGACAGAAGAGAGGCTTGATCAGCTGCTGAAAATCATGACTACAGTGCCAGTGGCTTTACACTGACACCAGTGGTCAGAGCTTCAGGTTCAGGGGATTAAATCTGAAACATGCAGGAACCTCACAGGATTCAGAAATGAACAGGAACCAAAGCCTTACAGAGATTAAGAAATCCTCTTCCCCTTCAGTTACAAAGCTCAGGAACCTCATGTGCATCTTCATGTGCTCCGTGTTGTTAAGAATTTGAGTGAGAGCTCATTAGTTCTTTATTCATGAGGTAAAATAAGGGCCTGAAAGGAAAGCTGGAGATGCAACTGATGGTTGTTATTAATACTTTGTCCTCACCTACAGCTGATTTCTTGTGCTGCCTGGGAAATTCAGGGCAAGGTGCTGCTTTGCATACACCAGGAGGGGTCTGGAGAGCTATCTTGGCTGCTGGAAGGAGAAGCCTTTGGCCAGTTAGGCTCAGAGCACCTACAAGAAGATGACATTCCTGAACAATTCCTATACATTCCAGCTGTGAAAGAAAAAGAATCAGTAGCAATAAAGAAAGAATTAAACAAAGCCAAACCCAAGTTCCAAATCAAAACTGCAAAGGTAACACTTTTATTGAAAGATTCATATCTTCTGATAGTCAATATTTTACCTTCAAGGAAGGTGAGTTTTGCCTATAAATATTGACAAACACATGAAAGATATTGTAATTCTGAAAGGGAATTATGTGCTTGTAGATATATAATTATATGCCTGTATATATAATTACATGCTTGTATATATAATTATACCCTTGTACAATGCAATTTAGTATGCAGAATGGATGAGAACTAACTTGTAAACCACAATGTCATCATCAACATGGACTGGCTGCTAAAACAACCCCAGTGCAGGTCTAGATGAATGATTAATAAATAACCAGCTATTAATCATGATCATTTCTTTTGACTGTTACTTAGTCATACAGGAACCTCCATCACACACACTTCTCCTTTCCAGCAGCCACTGAGCCCTGTGAACTATAAGAACTGCCTCAGGATGATGCTCAACACAACATATTGTGTCCTACATTAGCTACTACATGGAGTAAGTAGCCTGAAGTTGATCCCTACCCTTTGCAGACTTTGAGATCACAATTCTTACATGATTTGAGGTGCCAGAAATTCAGCCACCAACACTGCTTCTGTGGCAGACAGCTGGGGGTGACAGCACCCAGGTGGGTGTCTGTGACTCACCTCTTGCTGGATCTTCTTCCAACAGGGGTAAGGGAGAATCCATGCCATGAAAGGCAGGCAGAGCCCAAGGGCTTGGAACTCTGTGGTCCTTCCCTGTCTTCTGACTACACATCTGGGAAGAGACAGAATCTCCTTTTAGCAAAGAGAAATCTGAGATTTAGAGACTTCTCTACTCCTGCAGTAATAAATAATAAAGATAATTCCTGCTATGACTAGTTTCATTAAGATTTAACAATGTACCAGCACAAGCACTGCTTTTACTACTGAGGAACATGCTGCAGTTGTTGTCTGCTGTTGTTAACTCAGTAATTTAAAATGGAGTTAATTAAATTCAATTGATGTCTTGTGAATTTTGCTGTGCAAAAATCAGTGTATTAGTTAATAAAGGATCACAAGAAGTTAGCTCAGTTCTAATGAGTATAGTGTAAACATTGTGTTTCTTGACAGAACAGTCTTTAAATAGATACAATGAATCCTCAAGGATGTCCTCAAAATCCTCAAGGATGTCCTCAGTGTCAGCCTGATAACGTGGCCCACCCTGGCTGTGCTAACATGGCAACTAAACCTTCCTTACTGAGCCTGAAAAATGGAACCTGCTGGTTCCCAGTGCCAGGAATTCGAGCAGTGCCACACTACACAATGGTAAACCTAGAGAGACAGCAAAGATTTAACTTAGATGAAATCGAATGTTTTATGAAACAGAAGGAAAAATTAACAAGTCTATATCAAATCCTCCTCTGCCAACAGATTTCTGGAAGTGTAGGTTAAGGTTTCTTAGTTTTAGCAGGTAAACTTCCCAGGGATTGGGTGTGCTCTAAGATGTGCTGCTCAGAGCTTGGTGGCTGGAGGGTCTTTGAGCAAAGAGGAAGAGCAGCAGGAGCTGGACATGGAGAAGGACCAGGGGGCAGCAGGTAAGGGAAGAACATTGGGACAGCCTGGACAAACTGCCTGGCAGAGAATCAGGCAAGTAAGACTTGGATATATCCTAAGAAACACTCTCCAAGACTGTCTCAAGGACAGAGACTGAGGCAAGATAACAGTGGGGAAAGGGAAACTGAGGCAGTCTGAGAAGTGGAGGCAGACAGATGTGTCTGCAACAGGACCTACCACCCTGACAGCCTGGAGTGGACCTCAAGATTGCAGAGACTCCTCTTTAGTCAGCAAACAGCTCTGAAACCCAACAAACAGTGTCCTGTGCTTTCATGGGGACAATGTTACCAGTTAGTCCTTTAGGCCAATGGTCAGAAATTCTTGCACTGGATAGAGTGATTGAACTCTACTGATGAGCTGATGTCATGTGCTGGAAAATGTACGTGCTTTTTAAAATTTGTAATAATGATGAACTACCTTAAATAATAATAAACAGATATAATTAGAAAGCTGAGAAATATTAATAGACGTGTAAAATGGGATTAATGGTATTTATGTCTGTTATAGAGCACATTGGGCCTTCCTGGCTTAAAATATTAGGTGCTAATGACTGATTAACAAGCTTTTAGTGCAACAGGAACCAGGCCATAGTTGGGCTCTTTGAGCACTATTGTGTCATAATTACTGAGTAACATCAGCTTGCTAGAAAGGGAGAAGCAATTCTCAAGAACTGCTGATATCCTAATAGGGAAATGAGCTAGATCAAAATTAACTACTCTAATTTTTCCTCCCAATTTGTATAATAGCCTTGTCCACAAGAGACATTAGGAAGAGAGAAAACATGTACTTTTTATCATCACAGAGATCACAGACACTCATTTTGGTTATGGCCATTACAGAGGATTATGCTTTAAGGGATGGAGATGGATAAAGCTCCATGTCCTTGTGCTCCAAGAAAACTGCAATAAGCATGTAACAAAGATTAACTTTATACCAGCTGAAATATAAGTGGCTTAATACTGAGAAAAGGAAATTATAAACCACACTTTCCTGCTCCCTCTCAGCCCCAGCAGTTTGTTGAGGACACACCAAAAACACATACAAGCAAACAAATTTAATTAAACTGTGATTCCTTCTCAGGCTGTTGCTGTTAAGAGCAGTAAAACAGAACTGATTTTACTACTGGTCAGTCTGATCCTCATTTCAATCCCAGGAGTTTTGTTATGATAAGCAGCACATGAAATGTATCTATTTATACTGAGAGATGCAATATGCTACAAAGAACAGCAGTTCAGGGGCAGTGTGTGAGTTCAACAGCAGCCCAGAGGCTTGGGGTTGTTTCACTGGAGGGAGACATTTAATCCTTCGCTGTATCCTCTAATTTCTGCAAGTCCACGACAGGTGTCATGTCAAACCAAGGCCTGATGTGACTGTAATGTCATTTAATCTCACTTCCACTGCCCAGTGCCATGACTTACCTCCCCACATCGTACAGTCAACCAGGGCTCACCCAAACCAGTTTTCCATGATATCCCACCCAACCTCTACACCCTTCCATGTCTCCTCAGCACCCTCATCACGGCATGAGTTGCCCTCTTGAAGAATTCAGTGAGATATCAAAGCAGAAGTTGCCAAAATGCTGTAGTTATTTTCACTAAAATTAAGCCAAAGCGATTACAACAATAAGACTTTAAAAATCATATTAAGCACTGGCAGAGAAAGGTTTCCTTTGAGCATCATTGCTTCATCATGGCACTTTTAAAGTTCAGTTTTATAGGGCTGGAAGGGAACATTTAATTTGCAGGGCAGACAAAGGCTTGACTTGCCTTAAAATATGCTTGGAGTGTGCTGAAAAACTATTTTTTCATTTCAAGTGCTTCTGAGTGTAATTAACCTGAGACATGAGAAAAACAATTCTATTACCCTTTCTAAAGTGTTTTTCTCCTGTGGATAAAGCTCTCCCACTTTATTTTTCCTTTTTGCTTCATTTTAAGTAGGGCACTTGTTGGATCACCACAGGGACTTTCTGATTAGTTTTCTATTTGTTTTCTTTTTAGCTAGAAATATTTAACTAGAGCAATGTCTTTTTTTTAGGATCTTTATAAATATGTTTTCCCTCAGTAGAAGAATAGAAAATAATATTAAATACAGAGAAAAGCTGAGTATTGTGCATCCAAACTATAGTTTAGCAACCAGGAAGCTTAGCTAGATGAGATTTGGTAAGTAAATATCAGAAAAGAATGAGGCTTGATAGGAAGAAAATGTATAGAACAGAGTAATCTTTCATTTATCTTCTCCAAACTGCATCTACCTTCAGACTTTTGGTTAAGAAGTTTCTGTCAGGATTTGATGGACACAGAATTTCCCCCTCTAAAGGGAAGGAGGAAGCACAGCACAATAAAAATCAGTGGAGCTAAGGTCAGTTCTCAGTATGCTCAGGAAAATGGCAGAAGGCAGAACTACTTGGAAATTGCATCAGTAACAACAGGTCTTGTGTTGTTCTTACCTACTTTAAAGTAACCAGAGACGGCTCTGAACTGCCAATTTTCCACGTGCTTGGAAAAGTCAAGCTTTGCTCTCTTTAGGACCTACTTGTACCTCTCCCAGAAATCCACTTCCATCAAAGTTCTGCCCTAACAGGTGCCAGAGAGAATAGACAGAGAACTTTGGTGCATCCCATATCTGCTCCTTGAAACAGGCAACAGAAGCAGCACAGAAGGAAGTAAGAAAGATAATTGCTGGCTTGAACTACAATACATTTCACTCGTGGGCAAAGGGCCAACTTACAGGAGGCAGAACATGCAGGAGCAACTTATTGGAATTCAGGGATGAGCCTCCACTCCTGTCCAGAGACAGATGTAAAGCAGCAGCCCATAGCATCCCAGTCAGGCACGGAGTTTTGTCAGGGAATGCTGATATGGACAGAAACAGCTTCAGCAGCTCTGGCTGCACCTCCCTGCCTAGCACAGTGACAGGCAATCTCCAATTCCAGCTGACAAGAACTGGATAAAAACTTCAAACAAATGGTGACCTTTCCAAAGATTAATTTGTTTACCAACAAAATGTTCCACGTTTGTCATCTGAGATGGGAGTGACCTTCACATTCCCATTTCCAGGATGAGAGGATGCTGACTGTACTCATCTGTTCAGTTAACTCTATCTCACCAATTATTTCCTGTTTATTTTTAGTGACAGGAGGGTTTTGTTCAATCACTTTGCTGCTTGTGATGATTACAAACCACGATACAAACACAAGGAGCTTGTTTTGATTTATTGTGGTATAACAGCAATTTATTTAAGTCTCATTCTGCTCCCACTGCCAAATTCTGCTTTGGCTGGAGTCGAAATTTTGGCCGTGAAACACGATCAGGTTTGGAGCACCAAAGACCCGATTTTGTGCTACAACTTCTTCGAGTCACTTGAAATGAAAGGAAGTGCCTTGCTTTCTAAATTTGGAAATAAATACACTTTCAGGGCTAAACATCAGTGATTAGCAGGAATAAAGAATGAATAACTGAGGATCTGATTAGAATGGCTGTGCTCAAAGAAGTTAGCTTAAACGCCCCCCAGAATCATTGCCATCACCATTACAGCCACACTAGAGAAGATGCGACTCATAAAGGCTAGAAATCATCACCATATTAAATTCTGCCTCATGAATAAATGAAAAGGTTCCTAAGTTTACAGTATAATATACATTTATAAGAAAACAAGGACCCAAAAGTGCCAGTATAATTCTGGAACAGAACAGCAGTCCTGGGAAGATGAAAGGTAGAGCTGTGAATCTTGTCTGCACTGCAGCATTATGTCAGAATTACTTCTGCTGCAATTCAGATTCATGTTCCTTTTGCTGGATACGCCCTGGGAAATAGACATACTTAATAATTATCCACTCAGCATTTTTTCATTTGTTATCTAGATGATAAAGCGATGTCCAGTCTGTGTTTCCAACAAAATTCCAGCCCTCACTTTAAAATCACCACAGAACTTTGCAGAGGATGAAGCATTATGATCAGACCCAAAGAGGTACAAAAGGGCAACACTTAATTGTTCTTAGTTTCTATGATAAAATTCAGCATCAGCAACTTCACCATTCAAAAAATAGCAAGAAACGAAGACATTTTTCCATGAAACAATGAGATCCTTACTATTAATTTCTCAAACAAGCAGGATAATAAAGAGTCTGTGTAGATTTGTGCTCGACCCCCGTGGTCACCTCAAACCTGAGATTTAAAACGCTCAGGTCTCCTTGAAAACTCTTGGAATGACCCCGCAGGCAGTTAACCAAGGAGTCAGACTTTAATTCCCCGTGAGCAGAGTCATTCCGGAGTGAGTTTTTGGGGCTGAGGGGTGACCTGGTGGCCACACCTGGGGCACGTGCGCCCCCTGACGGCCTCGAAACGCTCTCTGCCCTCTTTCCATCCCAAAACCAACGTCATTTTAGACTTGCAACCACACACAGGTTCATTTTAGTTACTATTAGTGATCTACAGTCACTCCTCCAAGTGCTGGTAGCGAGCGCGTTTAACAAAAGAGCTTTAATTCACATCTCAGCAGTAGATTTGGCAAATACTAATTGTGAAATTTTACCCCCAGTGAAGGCAGAAGATTTCTAAACACACATTGTGTCATGGGATTCTAAAGCTCCTAACAGAATAAATGAGACAGGAAATACCTACTTGGTTATTTTAGCCCATTTCCTTGTCAGTTCCTCAGCAACTGTAAATATGTATCCAAGAGCTTAACTAATTTACCCTAAAGACTTGTAATTTAAGTCACCAATAAGTTTTCTGTGTTGAGGGTATGTGTGAGGGAGAGTGGCAAAACACATGGCTCTCTGCAGTAGGATAATATTCCTCTCTGTGAGCACTTTAGAGTGGTTCTAAAAAGCTATTAGCCATGATGCTTTTTTCTAATTAACTCTCTATCACAGGGTTAGACAAATCACCTCTTAGTCTGGGCAGCAGCTTTCAAAAATCATCTTTCACAAGTGGCAGCTCACAACTGTGCCATTCACAGAGTCTCTTCGTGTTGTTTAAAACCAAACACCCCAGAATATCTCTTGGAGCACTGAGCTGGCTGCATAAAGCTTCTGTTACATAAATTAAGCCATAGAAGAACATCCTCATGTGAGATTTTTTCCTGTGGCTCACAGAGCTGTGCTAAATTGGGGGACATAATAGATTTTTTGAGGGATGCCTCTGCCTAGTCACTTTATTTTTTTAAAGTATACTTGGCTAAAAATGTCACCTTCATGGACATCTGGTTATTTAAGAGGAGCAGCAGCTGCAGAGCAGAAGTATGGAGGAATCACAACTTAATCTTGCCTGACTTGATAATTCTCAGAGCAGAAAGAGAAAAGGGTGATTTGAAGAGCCAAGGAACAAGGGGAACACTCCCCTTCAAGGACAGGGGAGTAGAAGTGCTCAGTCTCCCTTTGACTCAGGGAACAGCTTGACCAGGGTCACTAGGCATTGAAAGGGGCAGCCCAGGGAGATGGAATCACCATCCCTGGAAGTGCTTAAGGAAAGACAGAACACGGCACTTAGTGCAATGGTTTATTTGACATGGTGGTGTTAGGTCATAGGTTGAACTTGACCATCTCAGAGGTCTTTTCCAACCTTAATGATTCTGTGATGAAAGAAAGGCTGTGCTGCAGAATATCTCATACCTTGACAGCAAGGACATTGGGATCTACAAGACCTGGACGTATCTCCATATGGAAAGGAAGGATCTGAATTTGTCCCCCACATTCCAGAGTGTGTGCTCCCAGCATGAGGCTAAGAACTCAACATTTCCTCCCAAACCACATGAGAAAAATAAGATGTAAATGACAACTAAATGGATGTAGGACTCTGATTCTCTTTCAGTATAAACTCTACGTTTTTAATTCTGACACCAATTTCTGCTCAGGCTCAGCAATCATGGGGCAGGATTGCTTTTGCCAAAAAGTGGACATTTATTTTTCACTTCAAAGAATCCCAGAATGGTTTGGGTTGGAAGGATCTCATCTCATCCCACATCCTGCCATGGGCAGAGATACCTTCCACTAGCCCAGGTTGTTCCAAGCCCCATCCAACCTGGCTTGGAACACTCCCAGGGATATCCACTTTTTCCCAAGAATCCTGTTACCAATTGAAAGCACAATGTATCATTGCCTTTTTAGGAGACAGCTAGAGAACGAACAACTCATTCTTGGCAGCAAAACCCCTTTTACTTCTTCCTTGATCTTTGGGTCACGTCCACAACTCCACAAGCTCCAGTTTGCTTATCTTTGCTCCCTGATGTTCCTGACCATGCACATTCCCATGTATCCTCATACTTTTGCTGGACTGGGGCCTTGGTACCTAAACCTGTTACATTATACATGTCTATTTCTCAGTATTATCACCCAAAATGCTTTGATTGTAACATATCAATGTCAAAAATAGGAAATTATGAGTCACTTTCACATAGATTAATTCTGTCATTAGGTCTGATGCAAAGTGTAATAGTCAAAGCAATGCATACAATAAGCTCATAAATGAATACAATTACTTACAGGAGTAGATTTTTTCTTAGTTATAAGTGGCAGCCTGGTCTCATCCTGGTGATGCTTTAAGCCAGCTTTATTATCCATGGTCTCTGGGTCAAGCATGATTTTAATATCCATTTCAACCTGCTGGAATACAGAATAGGAATAATCTTAAGTTAACTGCACCGGGATAGAAGTGATGATGAGCAGGAATTGGCTAACATGTTCATAAATTTGCAAAATGATGATAAAAATTCGTGTTATTTGACTCTACATAGACATGGGCAAACAAAATGCCTTGGATTAGATGGAAAACTTTACAAGGATTACAACTATTATCCACTTCTGCCCAAGTTTGTTTGGTTAGTTCCATTACAACTCTGAAGTTTCCATCCCTGCACACCTTGGAGTCAAGTCTTGAGTGGAAAGGCCAGTCAGGATTGACTCACTGGCCTAGTACAGACCATTTGTGAGTTCCACTGCCCTGTGTTATGGTGTATCCACACTCCAGCTCTTGGAGAGGGCTCCTCTGCATCCTTCCCACAGAGGATAACAAGAATCCAATCTACCTTGGACACGTTTGCCAAGAATCATTGAGGAATCATTGACCTGATGAAGCAGAACAGCTTCTCTGGCTCAGTCACAGCTCATTGCCTCAGTGCAGACAGAGCACTTGGTTATTAGGAAACGAGGAGAGAAAAGATTCTCATAGTAACAAGAACTAAAACATAGTAGTTCTTGCTACACTGTGTTAGCTGCATGGAATGAGTTCAACTGCTTTGCTAATAAAAATGATGATGATTTAAATCCCAATGGACAGAAAAATACTTTCAAAGTTTCTTCTTGTCATAAGAAGTACCAAAGCACCTAATTTTTCTATAAAAGCCCAAAGTGATGCCCTAGGTCTTCACTAGAGTGGAAATGTCTTTTTGGTTCACCTTTTATTGCATAAACTTATAAATAAATGTAGCAAAATTCCATTTTTACCAAGAAAATATGGCAGAAAAAGTTTAAGAATCATTAGATGTGCATTTGAACTACTAAGCAATCCATGAAAGCACTAAAAATGGTTTACTTCATCTATCTGCACAATATATTCTCTTCTTTTCATAGTAATTACCAGCAGATGTATCAATGAGATGCTCATTTAGATTTGGGGTTGTAAGAACTCAAGTTATTATCCAAGCCAATTACTCCTTTACCCACATGGCTGCACAGAGACAGAAAGTTCAATTTTCCCTTCGTCAGTGGTTTTGTGGTATTTATTTTATTGCTATAACACACTTATACAGAAAGGTGCTATTAAAACAGGGTTGGGGGAACTGAGCACCTTCTCAATTGAAACAAGAGATGATGCACAATGCAAACTCCTCACAGAGGTTGACAGGGAACTGATCAATGCAGCAGGGGCAGTGCCACACAGGGTAACAACAACCAAATCATTAACAAAAGCACCTGATGAAAGTTGCTCTGCCAGCTGAGATGTATGAAAAGTGCCAATTTCACATATGCAGGAGCTGAGGCAGATGTTTGGGCTCTTCCCTCTATATTAGCATCCCTTTGTGTTATCCAAAGTCTTATCCTGATGTAATACAAAGATGTGTGAATTTTACTTATATATATATTAAAACATATATATTGATATATCTTTGTATTTCAATACATAAATACATATTAAATAAAGATATCAACATAAATACATAAATAAAGTTCCCCCTGCTAGTCTTTTATTACAACAGGATAAGACTTTGGATAATATATATCATATTATAATGTGTATAACATATACAAAT